CGTATCTTTAACCCTTTTCTTTTTTTTACAGAACTACCATTCTGCCGTTTTGTAAGATGCTACTGAAACGAAAGCACCTGATGTTCAGTTTCATTTTACTTTATTTGTTAACATTTAAGAGGCTTTTATCATCCTCGTTAGTGCATCTCAAACAGCAGTAAATAAAAAGGAAAACAGAGTACTTGAAACAGTTGTTGTGTTCGCAGGCCATTAAAATCTTTTCCAAAAAATTAACAAAATTTTTTTTTGATATTTTTCATTAAATCTGCATTTGTTGATCTGTAGAAAGACAGCAAAAGTTGCAACGATTTCTTGAACATCTCTATAAACTTGTAAAGTTTAATTTATTACTAACTTAAGTTAAAATTGTTTATTTATATCAACACATGCTCATCAGATATCTACAGTCGCTGGGAATACACAATCTGAAGAAAAGTATTTGCTTACACACAGTTTATTGTTGCAGATGATTGCAAAAAAAACATTTCCAAGATGTGAACTTCACAATTTGTCAAGTTCCCGATCGTTGAAACATTATTCAAAACAGTTTAAATATGGCTTTCCTTCTCTTTTTTTTTTTTTTGATTTACTGTCTTATATGATCTGAAGGCGCTGTTTGCAATATACCATTTTTTATTTTACCAGTCAATTTTTTAGGATTTCTTTATAGTTTTGATTCACTAATCTTGTTCAGCGATCGAACTTGAGAGACCAGTAGATATATTCAGAAAAATTAATAGGAACCACATAAAAGATTATTGTGAATACAGCTTTTTACGCATAGTTGGCTTTTCAGTTTGGCATTTTCGCAGAAGACTCGACAAAATCTAGCAACATCTATGACTATCAACATTCAATCAAGAACAAAGGCTATAAAGTAATAAAAATATCATTCGCATTATCACTGCAGTTACTAAACGTTGTGTTCAACGCTAGTCTAAGATGTAGCTCGTTTAGTATTCTGTTCTGTTTAGAGGGTAGTCTAAGTCGAAGAAAAGTAGATACATGTTGAACCATGAAACAACAGTATTCTACTTGCCAACCAAATATCTGAGAAGAAAAATTAGCGTAGTTTCGGAAGGCTTTTGGTAGCTTTAAGCGTTAATTTGAATGAATTCATTTGGGCCAGTGTAAACATCAATTCCTGTCACAATGAAAATAGTAACGAAGGTTTCAACATTGTAATCACACTTATAAAACAGTGTCGCCAATCTTTAATTTTTATTACTGTGAGAAATTACCCAAAATATAGCTAAATAAGTATCGAATAATTAGAAGGAATAAGTGAAAAAAGTGAAGAAGACTGTCAACGCAATAAGGTAAGTTTCAGTTCGATGATTAACATAAAAGTGAATGTTCTACTAAAATCGGCGTTAAAAAATGATCTGCTAATCGAATGGAAACAGATAATAAATGCTTTTTTTAATGCCAAAATGTAATGCCTCCTTCTAAAAATATTTTTTGAAATTAAAATAGTTTCTATCTTGTCGAGACGAAGTGTGCTGGAATAGATTCGTTACATATTTAGAAGCGTACTACCTTGTTGAACGTTTAAAATTTAGAGCATTTAAAGTAATTAAACTCAAAAATATTTGGTCTGCTTCAGTCTGATGACCTTATCACTTCTGTTGGTTGTAATGAAGCAGAACCAGATTTATCGCGACCACTGTTCATTGGTCTCACCAACTAAAAAAAATTGAACCACCAGCCTGGAAGAACTCAAATATTCTTTACTAATTAGTTTTTTCTTTTTACTTCGCTAGACTAGACAGATAATTTTAGTCGGTGAAAACCAATTATTCGAGAGTATTAGAAAGTTGCATATTAACAGTGACAAGACCATCATCTAGATTGAATTGTTTTTTAGAGAGGCTTGATTGACAAACTGTTTTCACTAAGTAGCAACCGCTAACGAAGTTCTTTTTCCAATTGATGGTTCTTTTGTGAAATCGCGGCCAATGGCAGCATATTTCAGGTATTCGTTCTCGTGAAAGTTAACATATTTATTCATTTTGTGTTTAGCTTTCACTACCCAGCAATAAAGACCAACACTGAAGAGGGCGATTACGATCCCAACATTGACCAACAGAATTGTTGCTGCAAAATTTTTTGTTCATCGCGAAATGTCTTAAACAATTTTTGAGTTAGAAACTTCTATAATATAATAAAGTTTTTAAAAGAATTTTTCTTGATTAAAAAAAGCAATGAAATAAAAAAGTATATTTAGAGAGAGTAACAAAGAGCAAAAATTAGTGTGCAAATGCAGTAGTAGGCTTAGAATAAAGTCAGTTTTAGCTTGTCAAGTTGCAGCAAGCAAAATTGACGAAATCTTGAAGAAAAACCCTACTGTAGAAAGCAAATAAAATGTTACTGCGGTTGGAATGCTAGCAACTTTTTTAAAATTATTATTCGCTAAAGTTAAAGCAATGCAAATAAATTCAATGTAACCTACAAAACAAATAAATCTTAAAATTAGCACAACAACCGTGATCTATATTTTCATTAAAAATTGGGATTTTACTAACTTTAACAGAGCAGAATAATGTTCATTAAATTATTATCAATAGAAAGTTTTTTAAAGTCAGAAAACAGAGAGGTAAAAGAAGAGTTGACATATTTTGAAAACAAACGTTAAAAAATCAAAAATAGTCTTTCAGTTATCATTTTTGCGTAATTTTTGTGTGGAAAACTTCTTAATGTCATTGATTTAAACAAACCGCTTTTATTGGTGGGATTGAACAGCCACTCCCAAGAGTCAATTCCTTCCTGCAACATTTGTTAACTGGCAGTTTAGCAGATTCACTTTAATGTCGTTAAGTATATGCTTGTGATTTCACCAGTCAGGCTACAACTAGTTACAGTATCACAAACAGTTCGCTACGGAAACCGTTTACATATCTTTTATGTTATATCTCACAGAATCAAACAACGTTGATGCTGACTGCTGTACTCTGAAGCTCATTTTTTTGTATGCTTAAAACTGATTACTGCCTAAAAAAATGCTTTAGATGGTGACAAAGACAAACAATTTTGACAATTAACTGAGCGTTGAAAGAAGTAGAAACCAAAATTTTTACATATTTTAAATCAAATCCAAATTAATCCTAGATAAAAGTTTTCTGAAGTAATTTTTTTTTCTTACAGAAAAGCTTAAATTACCAAACTATCTTTTCTATTTGTTTACCTTGGTTTCTTTCGGTACTAGTGCTCGTCTGACACGAGAACCTGAAATTAAATTTATGCTATTTTAACAAAATTGTTGACAATTTGTTGCGTACGATACACTGTTTCTGACAGGCCGTTTAAAATCTTTAGCACTTATTTCATTTTAGGAGCAGTTTTTTGAGACACCATTCCCGCAATGCGACTATCTCTCTCGATCGCTTAAATTTTTCGGGATTTTAGTGAACTACTGTTACCCATCTGTTCAGTAAAGAAATTTATTTGTCAGATTTATAATGTATCTAGTCTGTTCAAGACCAGAGAAGGCTTTGTTAAAGCACTATTTTATCACTGCTATCAGAATATTATGTTATTAACACCGTCTTTTGTCAAATCCCCGTTTTTTCTTTGATGTAAATAATGCCTGTGTCTCCTTTTCTGTGGTGATCATTGTTAAAAGTGATATTATGAAATACAAAAGAAAATTGACAGCAGAACGAAACAGCGTTAACAGTAAGCTGATGAAAAGTGGTGTCAACCCGACGTTTCCATACTCGTATATGAAAATTATCTGAACCTACCGAGTCTTTTACAGACGTAACCACGAATCTCACTCTCCATCGTTGTGACCTGCCACTTATCGTTCGCAAGATACATAAAAGCTACTCCAGATATTTCTATCGCTTCAGACTCCGTTTTTTCTGCCCAATTTGTATAATTCAGCTGCTCTTGACCGCTGTCCCATGCCCATTGCCCAGCTGAGTATGTTAAGCCAGTCCAAACCTCCTTTCCTCCAGTAATTTCTAAGCAGCCAATTACCACTTGGTTTGCATTACCGACAATAAAATTGAACAAACTACATCTTAGATCTTAATATTTATTGCGACTATAAGCAAAAATCGTTTTACATCAGAAAATTGTCAAAGAAAAAGTATATTGCATACAATTTTTTTGTATTTCTGTAGCGCTCGATAGCGTACTTTTAAGTAAGAATGCTTCGGATACTGCGCCTAATGTCATTTGAAGACATTTTTCTGGGCAGTACCTAACTGTCAACTTAATTCGCACTTAGTCCACTTCTCTACACGCGGCGCACTGGTAGTTTTTGAATTTCCAAGCAAAGAAGTTGGAAAAAGTAACACAACAGCAACCTTGCTTATTAGAACCAAAATTCACTGTCAAAGAGAAAACATTTTTTATAATAGAAGTGCCTTCCCAGGAAAGGAACATTTCTAAACTACTCCAGTCAAAGGGGTTATTATTTTGAATGACTTTATATAGATGTTGTCGTCATGTAGACACGGTGGTAAATTATCACCAGTCTTAGACGTCGAAATTGTATCTTTCAGGATCGGCTGGAGAAAAGTAGCATACATCCCTATTTACAAGATCATTAATAACTGCAATAAAGTTAACGAAAGCGGAATACCTGTTAGGAATTTTCCTTCTGCATCTGATAAAACAGTCGTTAGTTGGCTTTGTTTTTTAGCCAAGCATTTGACTTTACTTTCCGGACGAGTACCTACATCACTGCCCTTAAATATCTTCAAAGTGAATTTACTGAAGATTCTGTCACCAAATGACGCAATGAAATTGTTGGTATAGTTAGAATGTCTGCTTCATCATAAATCTTTTACTCTAGATAGATACGAGTACAACTTTATCGTCGAGGGAAGGTATAGCAAGAAAAAAATTTGTTTGCCGAATGTAAATGGTCTTCAGCTTAATAAAGCATCTGCCACAGGGCAACACTGCTGAGACTGCGCAAGTATTAGCACCATTATATATATTTCGTCTTGGTTGAAACTGATTTTGCAGAAAAGCCAATCTTTTTTTCTGATAATAATTAAGAAAAATAATGCTACAATGCGACAGTTGAGTAGAAGAACCTGCTTAAACCTCAACAAATTCAATTAGACAGGAAAAAAAATCTGGTGAAAATAAAAGCATTGTTTATGGAAAAAACTAATTGAGTTAAGCTTCACTAGTTGATGCAAGTTACCTACGTAGAAGTAACAACTTGATAAAAATTTATGCCATCCTTGATCACATGCTGTATCCGCTGAAAAAAAAAAACAATATTTTGTGATAATCTATGGAAGTTTCTGAACTTCAGAAATCTAATAACAGTTTGCTGCTTTTTTTGTTACAACGCAAACTTAGTTTTGAAAGTGAACTGCTTAAAGCCACTTTGTCAGTTTAGGTATAAGATAAGAGGTGTAGCAGCAGGAATTATGATGTCGAGTAGGCACAAACGTTAAAATGTAAGCTACATACGTTTAAATTGAGACTTATCATAAATGCATGAAGAAACGATCTGAAAAAAATAGAATAAAATCAAGTAACCCCGTTTTTTGCATATGTACTTTATCATATCGCTCGTTCGATTACACATAGTAACGTCCGGCTCTGGATAACCAAGACATAAGCCGCCTTCATTTAAAACTGAATCGCTACTACTAAAAGATTCAGACCAGTATTTAGAATCCACGGTTTTGCCTGAATCAAGCCATATCCACTCATTTTCACTCTTCTGTGCTCCAAGCCAAAATTTTTCATTTTCAACCAATCCTAAAATTCATCAGCTATTTGAGCAGAACATTTGTCAAAATCACGGAAATGATTGTTTCTCCCCAAATTGTTTTTTCCTTTAAAAGCCATCTCAGACTACTTAGAATTACCCAAACCGTATACATGAAGGTAGTGTACAAGCGGAAACGGAAATTTCAGGTTACAGCAATAAATTTTGGCATAAAGTAAAAAATCTTCTTAGAAGATCACAACTTTATTGCTGAGCTCAGCCGAAAAATGCACAAATTGTTCACTGTGATCAGATCAAATTATTGACATCGAACAAATTTACTAGATGATATCAAATGAAAAGAATTGTACATGAAATTCAGCATCAAAAAAAATTTTTTTGTACGCTGCTGCTCATTAAATCTTCCAACAAATTTTATTCCAGCTAACTTCTTCACTGAAAAATATTGCTGTTTAGTGCCTTCAATGTTGCCATTAGGACACTTTTTCTCTGAGGTAGTCTGATATCACGACACAATTAGCCGCTTACCATGAAAGCTTCTCAACATTACTGTGCTTTTGGTACGGTTTCTTCTTTTAAATCCCTGCCTCAGTTATAAGTCAATTTTCAAATGTTAATAAACTACACAAGTATCAGCTACTTTTATAAGCGTCTTTTGAAGCTTACACTTATTAGTCAGATTATGCAGTAAGATATTGGTGATTAGCAAAATGCCTTTATTGCGCAAAAGATCCTTCTTCGTCCGTCAAGCTATTCAATATCAGCAAAACCAACTTTCTAGAAACTCCTCTTCTTCTTTTGACAATATAGAGACCAATGTTGAGCTATAGGACAGGCATTCTTCCAGTGACTCGCTAAACGTCAAGCCTCGCTCTTTTCCCTCGAAAAAAATCCAAATTTTTTTACTTATTATCAAACCGGCTATATCAAATGTCTGAGACTTTGCGTACCTCCTTTATTATATTGCAACCACTATGTTTATCATTAAAATACTTAAGAAGATGGCTTAGTATTAATGTACCATTAATACAAGATTTCGAAAATCATATTAAAAAAATAATATTACTCTTACTGTCATTAAAGAATCCATTAATGCCATTAGGAAAAAGTTTATGGTATATTCTCCAATACAATTCCGCTTAAATTTAAAAACTAGCTTCGGTAGCAGCAGCCCAGAAGAAATCAATTTATCTTTCAAAAAAATGATTGACTTTTTCTAATCAACATCTCTTGAAAATCCAGTATATAACTCAAACTATGCACCATTACCGGTAGTCTTTAGACTGTTGTTTTAGCGTTGATATAAAAGATACAATACAATAACCTTACTACTAAGTAACAGGAATCACCGAATGCCTTCCAACCTTCATCACAAGTATCTGTCATTTCTACTTCTGCAACGTTTGTAAACACTGTTGTTGCCTGTTATAATTTAGGGTAACACAAATTACTGGAAATAACTTCAGTTAAAAGATTCTTTAAAACTTTTTAACTTCAGTTAAAAAGTTTTAAAGAATCAAAAGCTTTTACTCTTGTGCTGATCTGCAGTCAGCTATAAAATAGTCTTCAGAACTCCAGTGATTGTTCAAGAATTAAGACAGAAAAAGCTGATGCAAATGACGATAGAAAATATGTAGTGGAAAAATTACCACAAAAAACTGTAAAAATCTGAGTGAAAAATATAATCCAAATAATGTCCAGCCGCATTCATAAATTTTTTTTTCACTGCATGTTCGAAAGTTTAATTGGCTCTATTTCAGCGTTTTACAACTTCCCGTTCCACAGCCACAAAACACATCTGTAATAAGTATAAGTAAATTTTTCAGAAAAACTAATTTTCAAATTGAAGAAAAAAAACAAAGCGCTGTTAAAAGTTAAACTGCTAAAAATTTATTAAATGAAAAAAACGGTGAAAGCAATGGCAGCAAACACACTTTAACTGCAGAGTTTGACTGTATATCCAAACCGTAGTTCAATCCGCCTCTTTCAACCTCGGCACTAAACTGGAATTTCATTACCCTGGCGAGTTTAAAAATTTTTTATACTCAGCAATGCCATCAGAAAATATGTATCTCAATATTCCATGTGAAATTAAGAGCAGAAGTAATAAAAAAAACAATTTTTAAAACAATTAAAACTAAAATTGTGTTGCCATTACTAGCTTACTTCCTTCGTTGTAAAATATAGGAGAGTCCTAGCAGAAATAAAGCCCTATAACTATAGTTGAATGCTTCGGTGGTTGTTTGCTGCAAAGAGTAAATTTGCGTGACTTCTTGTTCAGTGAACTGTAGGATTTAGGGGAAGCCTGAACGCTTTTGATGACTGAACTGCAGCATTGTTGATGGTAGAAACTGGCTGAATGTACATTTCTAAGACGGAAATGTCTTGCCAGTCGCGTAGGTTAATTATAGGAGTTAGCTACAAGCGATTTTATTGACCTGATATCTTGGATATCGTTTAAGCCTTACAATGGGTAAAAAAGGTCATTTAAAAAACCAAACAGGCTAAATTTATGCATAACTACGTCTAGTCGCTATTAGCCATGCTGTAGCATGCTCATGCATCAATTCAGCCTGCACAGTTTGGGGAGCAAATTTTACACAGGTCAATTGCGACAGATTCTGTGACTTTAACACTCCTTATATCCAGAAGCTGAAAAAATTGCACAAAAACGAACTGCTCGCTCCCAAACAAAGTAAAGGATAAGGATTTGCGTTTCATTTAACGGTGATTCAGGAATACAAAGAGATAACGGACTATTGTCATTACTAGAAGTAAATATTTAAAATACTTGATATCTTTTTAGAGATTTGATTACCAATGATTAAATGAACCAATAAAAATGTCATAAGCAAAAACCGCTAAAAAGTTTTCAGACCACTAGCAATATACAACGCCACAGTTCAATGAAGCATCATCAGTGTGTCGTTTTCGATGATCCTTCACTGTTCGTTCACCATGGTCTCCACAACAGTTTGAAACATTGCCACAGCCAGTTTTAAGTCAGATGCCGATATTAAGATGCCGCATAAGTAGCTTCTTTGCGGTGCAGCCCACTGTTATACTTTTTCAACAGCAGTGAATTACCGCTTTTAATAGCAATAACTAAGTTGTTCCTCAACTGAGACACTGGAGAATTTTTGGTGAGAGCTGTTTTGTTCATTGCCAAAATTAAGTTGAACCACGACAGAACCTCATAACTTCACCCAGTGTTACAAAGTAAGAGCAGTAAGCAAACGTTTAAACGCCAAGTCGACCGCCGCGACTAACTGTTCGGAAATCCATTCACAGTACCAGACGGACAACATTAGTGCTACCGCTATCTGTCGCTGACAACAACCAACGCGCAACCAAGTGCAGTGACCGCGATACTACTGCACTGAACATGCGCATAACATTCGCGCCTTAACTGTGTGGCGGTAAAATTAATTTGAAAACTGTACATGGGAGAGATAGGAGGCAGATAGGGATTGTCAAGGATTGTGGTGCTAGTACCTAGCGAAGGCCGTTGAAGTAACTGTTGTAATGTTGTTTGGCATTTTCCGATCATTTCTGAAGCTTTGTTTCTTAGATGTGTTGAGGCAAATGTGTTTATTTATTTCTGATTTCAAGGTTGAATACATTTTGGAGTACAAAATCTGTAAGATGTTATTCAGATTTGCTGGTGCTGGATAAGCTTTCATCAGTTTCGGTTTCACAGATAGAGTGGTCATCGGAACTGAATTGACTAGTAAGTCTAGAAGCGGTAAACGGGGGGACATCCGTATTAATTATAGCATCCTTTGTATTTATTGATGGGACACTCATTCATTCCAACGATGTCAGTTACTGTTAATGGGTGTTTAATCTGCAAATGCTATTTTTTCTTTGTAGTTGGAACATGTGATATTCCCTGCTTAACAAAACACCTAATACTGCGAAAAATATGACAATGCATAGCCAGTAGATATCGTCATTATTGTGGACTTTATTGTCAGGTTTGGAGAGAGATTTGAAGATATTTTGGCGTCAAGTTCCAAAAGACCGGCGTACAATTCTCAATCAGTTTGAAAACCGTCGCACTAAAAACAGGTTTGTATTGTAGAATTGGCTGAATTTTTTAAATATTTGCTACCCTTTTGCGGAAAAGCCAACAGCAAGCAAGTTTCAGGTGTTATTTGATTTGACAGTTTTCCTCAAGAAAGTCGAGCAGTTCGAAATATGGTAACTTTTCCTGATGCCCAGAACGACGCAGATTTTTGAGACCTGCCTCCTTCTTTTTACGCTGGACCTGACTGCCAAGGTGTCTTCAACATTGAGAATCTAACCGTAAAGGTCAGCATGGTGTTAGTCGTGTTTAAAACTCACTTTTGCCAAACTCTTCAAACCAAAATGCACGAGTAGAGTCGGATGGTACTTGACGACCATATACTTCACTGTTTTTTGAGACAGCTTGCTGGCCAGAGTAAGCAAACTTGTATTTGTAAAGTCGGTTATTGTGTAATACTTCTGGGCCATTATCCCGCAACTCATATCGCTAAATTGTGAAAGAAAAAAAGCAGAAATAAAAAAAATTTTTGAGAGATAGATGTTTTCTTTACAATAATAAGTACCAGGTGATATAAAATTTCTTGTTTGAAATTCGTGCTCTTGGAAAGGGTTTAAATGTTTTATGAGGTTGGTATTATAAAGTCGCTAAGATTGTTTGTTTTTTGCAGCGACTAAACAGGAGCGTTCTTTTGGTTATTATACTGTGATGTATTTGTACGTTACCCGAAATTTGAACTTTACAGCATGAGTAATCCTGCAGAAGGGACAGAAATTGCTCGAAGGGGTCCCTCTTTGTCAAATGCTGTAGTTTTAAAGGCACCGGAATGCAATAGCAAAGCCCAATGTGATAGCGTAAACAAAAGTCTAGAAACTATTTCAAGTCCGCCCAGGAAAATAAAGAAGTACATAACCATTGATGGTAATATTAGTCGGTTCTAGTATATTACAAATATATGAAGAAACCACAGCATTAAAAATAACTGAGATAAAAATGGACTGCTACAGTTTTTTCAAGGCATCTGAAATCTATAACAGTTTGTTGAAGATTTTTCTTTTATTTTACTTTTAAAGGCGCCAAGAGAAAAAATTGTTTTTTCAGATACAGTGAATACAGATGATGTTTTCGATGTTTCTTCTGCACAGTACGTTGATGTTGAAGTCGAAAAAATAAGCCTTGTCGAAGATGGTCAAACTTTATTTTGCTCTAAAAAACTTGGTTGTGTTACCGTTTATTTGCGAGGCATATGGGCTTCTTTGAGTGTCCGGCCTAAAGCGCATCTTCGTGTCATTGCGCCATTAAAACTAACTGATATGGTTGTTTCTATTCTGCTGCACCGATTATTTTTTGTTGTCTTTTTGGTTCAATTTTCCATATTCTTATGAGAACGGTTAACACTCATCTGTATATCTTTTTTTTTGCAGGAACTAATTGTGGACGATGAGCACGGTCTTGTTATAGTTGAAAGCAGTGAACTGGTTCCTTGCACGTTGATCACAGAAGGCGTCTTTTGTAGACGAAAAGCAGTAATAAATCAGCGCTTCGGTAGATCTAATCAGTCTAATGAAGCAGTGCTTATTGGTACTATTGTACACTCGCTTTTTCAGGTATTTTTGTAGAATTTCTTGCAAGAGTTAAAAATTTAACTTCCATTTTTTTTAGTATGAATATTAATCTTCCGCAACCGTATTTGAAGTTTTTAGGCTGTAGTACGCAAAAAGCCAAAATATCTTACTCATGCTTGGGTTTTGGGTTTTTGGAGAAGAGAGTTACGGTGTTTGTATATTGATCGGCTAATTGCACTTGGCCTCACGTTCCAAAAGGTATCTTGAAGTAGTTATAGTTTTTACAGTCGAGTTTTTTGACGAGTACATCTAATACCAATTCAGGTGGAGAAACGACTTGAACCTTACATAGAATCGATAATAAAGTGGGTAAAAAAGTATATGCCTGCGCCACTTGGCCAAAATGATAATTTCGACGACGGTTCTACTTTAGTTAGTGTTACAGATATAGAAGAAAGTCTTTGGGATCCTATTATCGGCATCAAGGGGAAAGTGGATGTAACTCTTCAGGTATTTGCAGCAATACCATTATAAAATACATATGCTTTTATGTAATATTGACCGTGTAGAATTCGGTGATAAATACGTGAATTTTAGGTGAAGATTAGAGGTAAAGGTATTAGTGAGGAACCGTTGGAGCTGAAAACTGGGAAAAGTAAAGTTAGTGTGGAACATTATGGTCAGGTTATGCTCTACTGCCTTGCATTGGCAGCGAGACGGTTTGAACTGGTAGCTATTTTGACATTATCTTGAGACCACTTGATTTGAGGAGAAACTGCGGCCATCTTATTTTTGCTGCATCTGGTCAGCGGTTGCAAAATCTTTTGTTTAGGGTTCTGTAGGGAATGGTACTTTACTATACCTAATTGATGGTACCACGCAGAGAATTCGCCCTAAAAAAAATGATCTGAACGGGATTTTACATCTCCGCAATGAGCTTGCTGTCGCGCTTAGTGAAATTTCTGAATTTTCTTTCCCTCGTTAGTTTTTTTTGCTTATTCTCATTTAAATTTTTGCGCAGCGGTTTTATACGTACCAGAAATCTTTTCTAGCTCCTCTAAATATTAACTGCTGCAAGAATTGTGAACGAGCGGTGACGTGCTTCGTCTTACAGAGGACCGCCTGCGCGGGTGTCAATAGTTCAAAAGATTTGGACAGTCTTTCTTCACTGATTATTTCTCATCTTTCATTTGACGACGTAAGCTACTTCAAGAAATGGATTCGTTGGATATTTCTTGAATGGAATGCTGGAAACCTTTTGAAATGTAATATACGGAGTATATGGGACTCGAGTGTGGAAGAAAGGCAAGCAGTAATAATTTGCAATTTGTTGAATTTATAAACCATCGTTGGGCTGTCATACACTGAGTTTATCATCATTCTATTGTTCTGTGAATATTCATTCAATTTATTCGGTACCGTCAGGCTTTGTAGGCATATGCAACCTTTCTATTTTGAATTCGGATTGTAATCAAGAAAATATTTGTTTGACTTGTCTTACTAAAGCTCAGTTCCAGGAACAGTATTATGTATGGCTAGATGTCTTACATATGAATGTGAACAAATAGAGTGGTTTCAAAAATATGTATATATATATATATATTTTTTTT